TAAAAAAGTCGTTTAAATCACCAGAGAAATCCCTAATTTGCTCCGTTTGATTACCACTCTTGTTGACTACAGTGTCATTTCTAAAAAAGTCGTTTAAATCACCAGAGAAATCCCTAATTTGTTCCGTTTGATTACCACTCTTGTTGACTACAGTGTCATTTCTAAAAAAGTCGTTTAAATCACCAGAGAAATCCTTAATTTGTTCCGTTTGATTACCCCTCTTGTTGACTACTGTGTCATTTCTAAAAAAATCGTTTAATTCACCAGAGAAATCTTTATTTTGTTCATTTTGATTCCTATTGTTGTTGACTACAGTGTCATTTCTAAAAAAGTCATCCAATTCACCAGAGAAATCCTTTATTTGTTCCGTTTGATTACCACTCTTGTTGACTACAGTGTCATTTCTAAAAAAATCGTTCAATTCACCAGAGAAATTGTTACTTTCTGTCTCCGGATTAGTGTCATTATTGTTAGATGTTACAGAGTCTTTAACTTTAATTAATTCTTTATCATCTGTAAAAAAGTCATCTAAATCGCCTGTGTAATTTCTATTTATTACCGAATTATCATTGAAAAAGTCATCCAAATCACCGGCGTATGTTTGATTACTAATAGAATCTTTCATATAATAGGTGTCATTTCCTATTCCAAGAATTTCCCATTGTCCTTCATCATTTCTAGGATCTGTATTATCAAAAAAATCTTGATCTGGAATTTTTCGTTCTATTATTGGTTTTGTATTTAAATAATTATTGTTTTCTTTCTCTTTTTCTTGTCCTTTATACGAATTTACAATACTTATCACGGTTTTATTTGAATCACATTTATTTGTCCTGTTATGATTTACTCTATATTTTACCAAGTACTGGTAACCAGTTTCTACCCCTTTGTAGTTCTTAAAATTAGAATCATAGTGAATAGGTGACGTCCAACCTAAGACTGTAAATGTAGACAGCATCTGTTTAATCAAAGGAGGAATTTTGGATTAATTTACTTATATCATAAGGTGACAAATGTGCTAAACGACCACTACCCATAGACATAAATGCGTTGTCCTTCAAGACGGAAGAGATATCCTCTTTCTATGCCAGCGTGTGTCATATGAACTACCCCTTCCCATCTTTTCCTTATAAGAAGGATTACTGCGATATACCTTTCATTTTTTATATCATAAAGTGGCAACGAGCAAGCGGCCAACTGAAATCGCTGAAAGAGCGAAGTGACCGTTGCCCAACGACGTGCAATTGCATATGCTATGCCTACCTTTAATTAACGGAAGAGAGAATGCACAGAAAGAAAATATTTTTCCTTTCCATGCATCCTCTCATCCAGAAAGTCCACTTCCCATCCTTTCCTTTTAAGAAAAAGGGTAGGAAGGGAAAGAGGACTAAATTAGGCCTCCGGGATGCACATTCATCGTAGGAAACGCGGAATTGCTTTCACTTGACGCCTGTCTTCTGTGTGGTCGTGGTATTTCACCGGGCGTATGGGCTAATACGTGCGAAGATGTTAAAGCGTGCTCTACCACTGTTAAATTCGCCATTTATTACTACTCACCAATATTGTTAGCTGGTACATTTTTAAATCTAAACTTAAGTAAGGGCACTGGTAATTATTTTAAAAGCATTTGATATTTTAGTGGTTAATGAATCCTTTAATTTATAACGTTTCGTGAGTACTGCTATGTACAGTTTTGCAACTCCAAATAACGAATGAAAACTTTTAATAATTCGTATAATATCTTATGATCGATAGTTTTTGTTGCCCCGTCGTATAACAATTAGAAACTGTTGATTATTAAACAAACTATACTAAAACAATCAAAACTCGTACATCTATAATGAACATCCTGTATTTGAAAGGAAATTGCTTATTTTACGTGTAAAACGATACGAGAATTTCTAACAGTCCGTTGGTTTATTAGACCTAAATACCTGTATCAAACATATCGTCATCTCTATCATTATCTTTGACAAAACAGAGATAGCAGTATGGTTTAAAGAGAAATTTTGGTTTTAGAATTTCACGGTGATACAGGTTGTTTTTTTTTATGTAATTTTGTATTTAATTGTGGTTTTTAGTAGACTTTGAGTCAATTACTCCTCTATGCTAATATTGTAAATAGAAATGTTTAAATCTAGGTTATTTTGGTACAAACATTGATCAATTTTCACATGGATAGAATGACATTCTATTAATAAAAGCTTTCTTTTTTATTGGTTAGCAGTAAAAAATCTCTAAAGTTCTTCTTTTTAGTGAAAAATGTATTTACAATTTTCCGCCTATTTAATTCTATTAGGTTTTATATATGCGTCCTGGTGGCCGAATTTAGTCCCCTTTCCCTTCACACCCTTTTTCTTATAAGAAAAGGAAGTCCACTTCCACTTCCCAAGTGGAAGTGGACTTTCCGGATCAGAGGATGCATGGGAAGGGAAAATACTCTCCTTCTGTGCATCCTCTCGTCCGTCGATTAAAGGTAGGCAACGAATATGCAATTGTGTATATCTATGGGCAACGGTCACTTCGCTATTACAGCGATTTCAGGTGGCCGTTAGCTCGTTTGCCACCTTATGATAAAAAAAATATATATATCTAATTTTTAATACTAAAATATGTATTCCTACAATTGTCTCTAATTAGATCGTTTACCACTATATCGTTTTATACAATTATAGTTTAATTACTTTGAATAATCAATAATGAATCAAGTTTCCATTCATTGAGTAATGCCAAGATGTCCGGCCGCTAACTACTCGAATACCACAATTTAATTTGTAAATGTTGTCAATTATAATTTAAAATACTATTTTGCCACGCTCTTTTAAATAGAATATTGTTGGAAAAATATTTGAAAAATAAAATTTAGACATACGAATATTAAATATATATAAAAACGGCTAAACACTCACGTATATTCGTCCGGTGGCGGCACCGGGTAGTTTCGAGTTCATCGGGGGCCCTTCATCAGGGTGAGTGGGACTGGTATCACCCTAATGAAAGGCCCTCGATGGGCTCGAAACTAGTCGGTGCCGCCACCAAACGAATATACGTGAGTTTTTATATAATTTTTTATATAATGTCTCATGAAAGTTGGAATAATTTTATTCGATTAAGTTTCCACTATCAAACATCTATATAAAACGTGTTTCTATCTCTGCTTTTTCAAACAGAATCATAGGGATGGTATTTTTTATTGTATATTTGTTTCCGCCGTGTAAAGCCACGGTGAAACAATAACCGTCATTCGATATGTATTGGTAGATAATGCCTTTCTGTTTTTCTTTAAATACAACGAGAGTCAAATCAAGAAACAAGAGTCACTGCAGTTGAAACCCAAAGTCACATATTCGAAACAAATTCCTACACACATCAGATTCCAAGCAATTCAAAATCGTCAAATCGGGTCAGCCGTTTCGGAGATTACCTGAAAAATGTGCTTGGCGGACAGACAGATAAATTTATAAGTAAAGCATCTTGTACAAGAATTATATATTTTTAGGATATTAAAATAAAAATCAAACTAATTAAAAAGCATACATTTAATTCAGTCTTATAAATTATAAAGGATATGTACAAAATATATTTTACACAGCTAAACTAAATCTATTGACCCGTTTATTTACATACAAAAACATTAATACAACTTTAAACATGCGAATTATTGTTTGCGATCTCTTATTTCATCGGTAAAACGAATCGTACAGTCAGTAATAGCCATGTTCTCTGTTATGAAGTTTTGCAGATTTTTTACATCAGGCGCTGCGGGACGGTCGAAGGGATATCCCATAGCTCTCTTGTCAGGGTACTGACGGTCCCGAATACCGCAGTACGATGCAGCGTCATTGCAACTTCCCACCAAATCTTGCGCGACCTGTCAGGTAAAGTTTAAAATATCAAAGAGTATAAAGGATAACAGATTGATGTATTATCAAAGATTAATTGTATATTGGTGCCAAAGTGCCACATTTCAAGAAGGTTAAAAGTAAGTGACCTAACCGTTACTTTCTGAGACCAAAACCTCTCTATAAAACATATTATCATCGCCGTCGTTATCTTTGACTAAGCAGAGGTAACGATATGTTTTAAACGGAGATATTGGTCTCAGAAACCCATGATAAGTGATTTGACACAGACGAGTAAAAAAAACTTATAATGATACAAGGAGACTTAAATATTATACGTAACTTTTTGGTTATATTCGGTTCTTTTAAAGAGCTAAAAGGTGTGGACATACAGAAAAAAATAAAAAAGTTATATTGAAGATCTGTTCTGAGTAATTGTTTCGCGAAATCATTTGACTTTGACTTTCATCTTTGACTTACCCTATCGTCATTCCAGTTAGAGAACATAACGAAGAGGGTGACAGGATAGCCTCTAGTGGTTCCTTTAGGTATGAGCAAGTGATGAGGCCAGCCACAGCCGCAGAAGTCAAATTCTGCAACGCTCTGGTTACCGGCGGTGCCTTGCCTGTTCAACTGGTTTCGGAATGACCGCTCGTAAGGAATGGTCACTGATGAATCCAAACTTCTGCGACGGATCGTGTTTACTCCTTGTTTTACTGTTGATATGAAAAAAAATGTTAGTATTGAATGAATACTGTTAGGAAGAAAATGTGGTAGTGTATTGACCCAACACTAGCCTTAATAAAATGTCGACCCTTATGTCCCCTCACTAATCATTCTGACACTTGACTTTGTAACGAAAGCACGTCATTCGCGCCAAAGGATTCTAACTAATAATGATTAAAAATACGTACTAACCATAATTAAAACAGTAGTGGATTTAATATTGTTATCAAGGGATTTTAATCTTCCAAAATGGTTTACAATTCTAATTACTTATTTGAGGAAACACAAAAGAGAAATAAAAAAGAGCAACGCAGAGATAAAGGGAGAAAGAGAATCATTTATTTGTCAGTAAAATTGATATTTGATTAATTTGAAAACTTATTGTGTGTCATAAAATTAATTACTTACAGCCATGAGTGAATTTGTCAAGCTCAATCATGAGTTTCCTTTGAACGTCGAATGTCATTCTGTTGCCATTGTCATCGAATACAGGGGCCATGAAAATACGAACTGTGCCCATCGCATAGTTTCCACTTGTGTTGTTCACTTCGATACTGTAGAAAAGAAAAACCATTTTATCATTTAAGATCAATATTTTACATAACATCAGTTAAATTATTCAAAATTTCGTGAGACATTAAAACAAACTTATATAAAAATGGACGCGAAACTAGTCGGTGCCGTCACCTCACGAATATACATACGTGTGTGTTTTAGACGATGTTATGTAAGTTCAACATAACAGCAGCTTTGTATGAGAGAGAGAGAGAGAGAAAGCGAGAGAGAGGGAGTAGTTTTAGAGTTCAAAAATAGAAACTGTCTCTTCTCACATCTTTATCTCGATTGACTTTTCCTTATTCTATATTGTCTACTCTCTCTTATCTATACTGTATTCTAGTGTTGTAGTTTTTGAGTGACTGATTTTTTATTGTTTTGATTTTAAAGTACTATGACTCGATTCAAATTTAACGTAATTGTTAATAAAAAAATAATACTGACACATAGTTGAATTCTTCGTGCTGTAGGTGAGTGAAGCGAGCCAGTACGCTACCACGAGGCGTGAAGTCCAAGCCTCGACCCAGTTCCACGGTGCTGCGCTCCCAGTGTGTTCCAAACACATTGGTGCCAGCGGGACCTTCCACTTTTATTGAAGTCACATTGATATTATTGTACACGATCTGTAAAACAAAACAATAGGAGTCATGAAGTCTACCAATTTTAGATTGGAATAGCTGTCGTCTGCGGCTCCGTCCGCGCGGTATTAAAAATAGATGTTGGCCGATTCTCAGACCTACTCAATATGCTCACAAAATTTCATGAGAATCGGAAAATTGTGACACGAGAATTTTATATATAGGATAATAAGAACTTACCTTGTCTTGTGGGTAGGGAGGAAGTTTATTTTTATACATCTGGAAGATGTCGTCGATATGAGCGTGCCAGCGGTAGAAAATTGGATCACGCATCGCTGTCGCGGAGTCGCCTATTACTCCAGGTCGTTCCTGTTAAAAATAACGCAAAACATATTCAGTAGAATTATCTTTAAGACTGTTTTTTATCTAAGCCATTGAAGAAAAGAAAGAAGAGATATCGTTTAAAGGTAGGCAATGCAATTGTGGATTTCTGTGGACAGCGGTCGCTCCGATATTTCGGCGATTTAGTCGCTAATCTAGCAGTCGCCCGCGACTACGTTCGATTTAAAAAAAACATAATTAGTGCCTATGTGTTCTTCCAGACTATTATTTGTATGTCAAATTTCAACGTTATCCATTAAGCCGTTTTGGGAATATCTTTAAACAAACGTCCATCCATCTAAACATTCGCATTTATAATATTAGTAAGAAGTAGGGATACAATAGCGTGTCATTGTGGAATTAAATTCTTAAACGAACTGCGCCCCAATTCCATAAGAAACTGTTTAGTATTCATATAAAACAAAACCTTACCAAATGGCGATGATCTGGGTCGTGTACGTATGAGATGAAAACATGCCCCATATTATGATAATCGCCATAGTAGCCCCTGTTGACGCTGAGGATGGAGGACTCCATGATGTTGCCCAAAATATCGATGCCAGTTTCAGGGTTTAATGGCATTTTATAACCAGTAGTTCCTGGCTGGAGAGATAATTGACAATGGTATTATTTCTATAATTTATATAATAACAATTTCAACGTTTGAAAATTAATCTTTATGAATCCTTTTAAAAAAAAAATAGCAATTCATCTTGTTGTACACTTTAATGTAAGATAAGCATAAGTTAAAAATTGTTGGTATTTTTTAATATTTGTTATATCGATGAAAAGAATATATTGTAATGAACATCTATTACTTTTAAAGGGAGTATTTGCAATTGACGTAAAGGGTATATTTAAGGCTAGGCTTAAGGTATAGACTATATTCTATAATAACTATTAGTTTAAAGTGGTTTAAGATTGCTTACAACTTACATGTAAAAAGTACTTACCATAAGCACAGCATTTTCTTCAATAGCTTGTAAAATATTATCTCTCCATCTCTCCATTTCTGAGACATCTATTCTGATTTGTTCGACTGGTCTATCCAAATCGGTTATAATGGACCCAGGAAATCTAAAATAAAAATGCATGTTATGGCAAAGCCTAGCTAAAAAACTTCGTAAAATTTTTAAGATTAAATGTAAATTAATAAATATAAGTATAAGTAAGGATAAAATGCAAAACATACGAGTATGAGATGATTTTAGAAAACCATGAATTTTTAACGTTTTAAATTGTGCATAATTAAACTATCCATTTAAGTAGAAGTACATATTGTAATCTAACTCAAAGGCAGGAATAATAGTGTAAGTGCTTATTTGCTTATTTTTTATTTTACCTTGGCGGCCAAGCACGGCTGGCAACTTTAGAGTCCAGTTTGGGGAAGTAAGCTTCCTCAATGGGAGCTCTGAAATCTTTGTACATAACTACCCGAGGCAAGTCGTTGCAGAAACGTTCAGTATTGTATCTGGAACATCAAAGTAAGATAAAGAAGTAAGAACAGTATTTTAATAAGTCAGCGTAAAGGACAGCGTAGCTGGATTACCGTCTCCTTGTGAATCCAAAATTCCCGCAATAACTATTATATTTTCTGTTGCATCAAAGATACAGATAGGGATGACGATATGTTTTATACAGAGATATCGGTCTCAGAAACTCACCGTACATGAGTTTGCTTATAAGAAGAATAACATACCGTCTGATGTTACTTAGAGTCGTTAATCTTACTTGCTTCATCCATTTTCACATACCATTTCTTAAAAAGTATGAGTTGCCGTACATTATAAAAAGAATAAAAATATTTACCTTGCTACAATTTGTTGATGCATGTAGTAAAAGAGTTCACCACGCCTATCTTTATCAACTATACCCCCAGTTGTCAGGTCGAAGGGGTAGACGAGATGCCAATGCCAATGGTGGAGATTGATCGCGATGTCCTCACGGAAATATGCCACACGTTGCTCCGGCTCTCGATCTGATGCCGTCAAGTTTTGTGATATTGTTACTGGTATCTGGAAAGGGAACCAAATTGTGGTATATAAGGTGGATGATGTATCAACTTCAAAATTGATCTGATATCAAATTAATCAAACTTATATAAAAACGGCTAAACACTCACGTAGTTTCTGAGTGAGCTAAGGGCCGCGTCCGCGACATAATACCAGTCCCACTCACCCTGATGAAGGGCCCGAAAGTAGTCGGTGCTACCACCGGATGAATTTACGTGAGTGTTTAGCCGTTTTATATAAGTTGATCTGATAGCTTTGAACCATTGAATGACAGTAGTAATGTAGCAGTCACAGACGTGCTATTGGTCTCAGACTTCTGGTGGTTAAGTGGAAAAAGGAGTCTGAATATAGCAAGAGAATGATCTTCCTACATTGACTTTGGATAAAGTGAACAGTGAGCATCATTTAATTGATGACATTAACGGAGGAACTAAAGATTATGGGGAACCAAAAATAGTTTAAATTTACCCTCGGGCCAGTCTTAGCAACACTCGTCGCTTCTCGGGCTCTTCGGAACACTTTTGGGTCCATAAATTTATCGGGAAATGTTTCCGTAAGAGTTGGAATATTCAAACCTTTCGTGTCATCTCTGGAACAGATAATTTAACTTACGTCAATATTACTTAAAAAATGATTACGAAATGAGTTCATGTTTAATAGTTTAAAGAAATATTTGAATCTTTCTATGGTTATCATTGATAATACAGAGACGCGATGTGTCTTTAAAGACTTTCTTATCAAAATATTTTCCTTCTCTGTGTTAACGGTAAAGAATCACCATGTACAACTAACTGTAAATATAATGTGTAACATATTTTTTTTAAATTCATTTAAAAAGGCAAATATTTGATTTTAATTTCTCTCCCAAGTAGGGTTGGCGAGAGGCAGGCGGCCGGCTGTAATAAGACCAAAACATTAAGATTTATAAAACCTTGTGCGCCATACCAAGAGTTGGATGGTGACATCAGCTCAATATATGTCCCCACTGAGGGGTTTTGAGCCTACCCTAAGTTAAGGGTGACTAGGGCATAGTCAACCACGCTGGCCAAGAGCGGCTTGGTTGACTTCACACATATCTTGGAATTTATTCTCAGATATGTGCAGGTTGCATCACGATGTTTTCCTTCACCGTAAGAAAGTCGCATATGTAAATTGCAAACACATTGGTACATGGCGGGATTCGAACCCAGGACCTGCAGATTGCAAGTCAACTGCTTGATCACTGAGCCACCGACGCTCAATGATGATATGTAGATTTATAAATAACCTGTGTAGTAACGCGACGGAGAGGCAGTAGTTAAACATGTACGGGTTGATATGAAGCTGGCAGTACGACAATATAGAAGTCAAATCGTCTATGTCACGCATTCCTGAAACAAAGAAATTGGTAATTTTATCATCAGGCAACAACTATCCAAAACTAAAGATGGTTTAGTCTGGTATCACAAATTTATAAAACTTTCATAAACAGGGTGTTAGCAACAGTTAAATACTAGCTGTCGCCCGTGTTCCGCGAGGAATTAAAAAACTTTATGTTCTACATCTGTACCAATTGCAATTAGATCCATGCATCCGTTCCGGCTTCTAACGTACATCCATCCAAACATTCGTATTTATATATATATATATATATTTTTTATATCATAAGGTGGCAAACGAGCGAACGGCCACCTGAAATCGCTGAAATAGCGAAGTGACCGTTGCTCATAGACATACGCAATTGCATATGCGTTGCCTACCTTTAATCGACGGAGGAGAGGATGCACAGAAAAAAAATATTTTCCCTTCCCATGCATCCTCTCATCCGGAAAGTCCACTTCCACTTCCCATCCTTTCCTTATAAGAAAAAGGATGGGAAGGAAAAGAGGACTAAATTAGGCCTCCGGGACACACACTCATCAGACGAAACGCGGAATTGCTTCCACTTGACGCCTGTCTTCTGTGTGATCGTGGTATTTCACCGGGCGAGCCGGGACAATTCGTGCGAAGATGTTAAAGCTGGCTCTACCACTGTTAATAATGTTAATAATAATATTAATAGTTGTTGAATTAAATTAAGTTGGCTATTTTTGATTGTCTTCTTGCTCCTTTCTCGTGCAAGAGGTTGATAGTTTGATTTCATTATCCCTTGATTTTGGAAAACGAATACAACTTAAAACACTGAGTGAAGTTCTTCATTTGTTTTCTTACCCAAAAATATATCAATCAATCTGCCAGCCATTTCTCTATGTGTAGGCAAGAAGACGGAAAACTGATCGTTGTAGGGCAGTTGCTTTGGGACGTCTAAGTTCGGCAAGGCGATGTTTCGAATTGGTATACTTCGACTAGCATCGTTACCGAATCTGTTCGAAAGACTATTCGACAGAGACTGGTATTTTTCCGGCTGAAATTAAAAAAAAGAAATGGAGTGCTTATCAAAAGGACTATGTATTAAAATGACCAACTTTGTCGCGGTCAGCTTACAAATGTCCCAATTGATTTTGTTCATCGTTTTCGATTTACTCCCAACAAATTAAATTTTAAACATAACCTAAATTAGTAACTCATGTCTTGTCACACATTACGATATATTGACATTTTTTATTATGTGACTGTTATATTGATTACTAGCTGTCGCCCGTGACTCCTTCCGTGTGCTATTAAAAAAAACTTAATTAGTAGTAGGTTCTCTTCCAGACTATGTTCTAAATCTATGTCAAATTTCAGCAAGATCCATGCAGCCTTTCCGGAGATATCTTCAAACATCCATCCATCTAAACATTCGCATTTATAATATTAGTATGAAGTTTTAAATATTTTCTGATTTACAATATTTATTTATAAATAGAATATTAAATTAAATACTTACATAATAGTGGTCCGGAATTTCGAAGACTGCTTTTTCATCACCTTTTTGCATAAAGCATGGTTCAGTTGGACGGTCAAAGAATAATAAAAGATTCTTCTTTTTCGTATCCGCCATTTTGATTTTTTTATTGAGATATCAAATTGATTATTCGAAACGAATTTTTTTTATTTTTTTTTTATATTTTTTAATAATGGAATTATTTTATATTATGTAAATAAAAAATATAAGTATAGTTAACCGTGAAATACACGGTTAAACTGTAAATGTTAAAAAATTTCTAGCTGTTTATATACTAAAATTTAGGAAATTCCCAAATGTGACTAATTAATAAAAAAATACAGTGGGTTCCGTACATTTCGGACTACGTTAAAATTAAGGGAGCGCAAAAACCTAATCGTAGTCAGAATTACGTTATTTGTTTTATTACTAGCTATCGCCCGCGACTTTACCCGCGCGGAAAAAAACGTAATAAGTAGCCTAAAATGTCATTAAGATCTGTTGATTCGTTCCGGAGATACCTTCAAACAAACATCCATCTAAACTTTCGCATTTATAATATTAGTAAGGTAGTAGCTACGAAAGTTTAAAATTAAAATTACTGGTGTTCGTTCATTGGTCGAAATTCGTCCACAAGTCATAGTAAAATATACATTTCTTTTATTAAAATATCTTTAATTCATTTGTTTTGTAGTGGTTAGTTATTTAGTAAGATTATATTTGAATTATTTAGTTTCCTAGAACTAAGATTGTTAATAAACAGTTGTCTTTACGTATATTAGCCAAATTAAGTGTAACTTTCACGTATCAGTATACGAAATTTCCTTAAAAAGGGGTAAAAATATCCTGTATTAAAACGATACGTTTTAGTTTCATGAACAAAGAACCCTACTTGCCTATTTGTATGCGTGTGAAATTTCGGGGCTTGTTAAGAATTATTTATCTATAGGAAACTGTGGTAAGTTTATCATTCGTAAAAGCCCACGTAACGTAGATTGACAATTCTTTTTTTTTTTTTTTAAATAGTTCATTGCCATTATGAGTATTATCTGTCATATTTATTATACTAGTAATTTATTATGGACGAAAAAGTTTTTATGATTTACAATATTTTATTATATTTAAGATTTTTGTTGAAATATATAGTCTTACTAAATAACTAACCACTACAAAACAAGTGAATTAATTAATACTATATTAAATAAACTATATACTAAAACTAAACCAAAATAAAAATAAAACTAAATAATATAAAAAGTCGACCCCAAATCGCTGCGCTCGCACGGTATTTACAATATTAAAACTGGCGAAATTATTATTAATAGTTTTTTTTAGATAAAAGAAAAAAAACTCATTTTTTTTGGTGAAAGATAATGATTTATTCAGTCTTAAAAATTACAAAATAATATATACAAATATTAACAGAGCTTTACTAAAATAAATTGACCCATTACATCTAATAGTTATTACTAATGTCCATTATACATGCCGAGTCACATTTATAGCTCAATCGTCGTATCCATATCAAGCAAGTAATGAAAAGTACATCTCTATAATATGTTTTATAAAAAAAACATAGAATTTATTTCGCGCCTCTGACTCTGACAGCATCAGTAAAGCGTATCTTGCAATCAGTGATCGCCATGTTAGGTCTCAAGAAGTCGTTGACAGTCTGTACTGCTGCAGGCACAGGTCTGTCAAAGGGGAAGCCCATAGGTCGCTTGTCTGGGTACTTCCGGTCTCGGATGCCGCAGTAAGATGCCGCGTCTTTGCAGGTCCCAACTAGATCTTGTATGACCTAATAAACAATACGAATAAGTTAAATGTAATAGGTTCATCATCATCAGCTCACTATACGTCCCCACCGAGACGCTCGGAGCCTACCCTAAGTTAAGGGTGATTAGGCCATAGTCAACCACGCTGGCCAAGTGCGGGTTGGTTGACTTCACACATATCTTTGAATTTCTTCTCAGATATGTGCAGGTTGCATCACGATGTTTTCCTTCACCGTAAGAACGTCGGATAAATGTACATATGTAAATCGGAAATCGAAAAACACATTGGTACATGGCGGGATTCGAACCAAGGACCTGCAGATTGCAAGTCAAGTGCTTAACTACTGAGCCACCGACGCTCACAGGTGTAATAGGTTATCTGAGCTAAAATAAAAGAACGATGCGAATAAAATAGCAGACCACAATGTTTTACAATTGCAATACAAATCTGTTAAGTTACAGATTTCGAAGCCTTTATATGACGAAAAGATATGTCAGACTTCTGTCGACCTAAGCTAATGTATCAAATAGAACAAAATCAGGGTTTAAACGCAATCTTGTAGTATTAGGCATTATTATAACCTTAATTATCTAATGGGAAATAGACTTACAGCATCATCAGCCCAGTTAGAAACCATAACGAATAGTATCATTGGGTATCCCTGCTGTGTGCCCTTAGGCAACAGCATATGGTGCGGCCAACCGCATCCACAGAAGTCGAACTCCGCCGCCTCTTTAGTGCCAGGATCTCCAGGTCTTTTATTCTGGTCCATGAAGGTGCGTTCGTATGGTATAGTCACTGATGACTCTATGCTGGCACGACGAATTGTATTCTTCCCGGGAGCCACTGCAGCATAGATATTTTTTAAATTCCATATTGCAGAATCAAAAATATTGAATAATGTCAATAGGTTTAAATACTAAGTAAAAGATTTAGAAGAGTTAATTAGAGAATAATTAAAAAAGTAAAAAATCTAAACAGAGAAAAGTCTACAATCATCAAAAGTAGCCTCCGAATGCTGCAATACTCACAGTCTTGAGAGAACTTATCCAGCTCGATCATGAGTTTTCTCTGATCGTTGAACGCCAGTTTATTTCCTTTTTCATCTGTAATTGGCGCTAAGAAAATGCGCACGGTTCCCATCGCCTTTTTACCAGATGAATTGTCCACTTCAAGTCTGTCAATAGAAAAAAGAAAATGAATTTATACGCATGGTTCCTACTGCAATACCCTTAAACCCTAAACCAGAAAGTGGTAGAGCTCTCTACAAAAAAGTTATAATAAAATTACTTTATTTGTGTGATGTCAATAAAGTAATGCCAATAAAGGCGCTTATTCTTTTATCCCCCTTTCTCTATTTTCTGCCATCTGGCATTCACCTAAAGAGGTCAGCGGTTTTCGGGTAAAATAAAAAACAATTATACTAACACGTAGTCAAACTCATCGTGTTGCAGATGAGTGAATGTCGCCAACACACTTCCACGTGGAAAGAAGTCCATGCCCCGTCCCAGCTCCACTGTACTCTGCTCCCACTGGGTTCCGAATGTGTTCTTACCAGCCTTGCCTTCTACTGATACAGAAGACACGCGAATACCCGGAAAGTCCAGCTGTAATTATATTTACTATTTTATCACAATGTCGCGATGTCTATAATTTTTAGTGCGCTATTCTGAGAAGTGATTTAATCAATTTTAAGTCATCATCATCATCATCAAGAACCTTTATCTACCCACTGCTGGGCATAGGCCTTTCCCAATGCCTTCCACGGTACGAGCAATCCGAATCTGCCTTCCGCATCCAACGACCGCCGTGCGAACTATGTCGTCGGACCAACTGGACGTAGGACGCCCCATTTTAAGACGGTTTTCATTAAATGTACCTTATCATTGCCGTAAGGAGGCAGTTTGTTTTTGTACAAGACGAAGACGTCATCAATGAAGCCATGCCAGCGGTAGAACAGCGGGTCACGCATTGTTGTAGACGGGTCACCCATCACACCGAATAGCTCCTAAAATTTATGATAGTTATAGACTATTGAGTTCAAGAAATACAATGCTCACTGCAAATTATTAGAAAGTCCTGTACATAAGTAAAGAAAATTGCAATTCAAAAGATAAACACCAAAATATTATAATATTCAAGAAGGAACCATTTGGTAGATGTCTCAATGTAACACTGTAAAATGGTATGAAAAAAGAACGAGTTACAATGATCTAAATAAAAAAAAACCGGAGAACCGTTCAGACTCAGCTGAGTTACAACAAAACAAAATGATATTGACTTATGCAATAAAACTCACTAAATAGCGATGATCCGGGTCATGAATGTATGACATCACAGTGTGACCCATGTTGTGGAAGTCGCCGTAGAAAGCGCGGTTGGGAGTAAGAATTGACGCTTCCATCAAATCTCCCAGTATATCAATGCCCTTCTCTTCGTCAAGGGGCATTTGTGTCCCATTTGGCTATAAGTAAATTTAAAAATGTAATTTGGAATCCAATGAAAGGATGTATGCAAAAAGTAAAGCATTTTTTTATTTTGTTTAAAGTTTATTTGTCTTATACAAAAGTAATGTTAACTAACCAAAAGAATGGAGTTACTATCGATGGCTTGAAGGATGCGATCTCTCCATGTTTCCATTTCTGACAAATCTAATTTGATTCTTTCAAGAGGTCTGTCTAAATCCCGCATAACTGAGTTCTCAAACCTTAAAAAAATTATTCCTTAAAAACATTATTCGAATCCAAACTGCGATCAACTACTCTTGATGTCAAACACAGATAAGCTCTTTAGTTTTACAATAGTAATCAGTCTTACCGTGGTTGCCAAGTGCGGCTAGAAACTACAGAGTTAAGCTTAGGGAAGTAAGCCTCTTTGATGGTCTCCCTTAAGTTGGCACCAAAAGGTGCGACGCGAGGTAAATCATTGCAGAAACGTTCAATATTGTATCTTGCAATGATCTGTTGATGCATGTAATAGAGCAACTCTCCGCGTCGGTCCTTTGCAACGATTTCACGATTGGCAGATTCAGGTGGGTAGACCAGATGCCAGTGCCAATGGTGCAGGTTGATGCCAATATCTTCACGGAAGTATGCCAAGCGCTGTTCCGGTTCTTCGTCAGATGCTGTTAAGTTTCTTGGAATAACAACCGGCATCTGGGGAAATATCAAAAAGTTATTAACAAAGTAGGTTTTATAATGTAAAGCGTAAGGCATTTCCCCACGTTAAAAAAAAGTATTAAAATGTTTTTTTTTTTTTTAATTTTTATTCTATTGTTTGAAATGTACCCTTTTGCCTGTTGTTATTACACTTGCTTCGGATCGCATACGGTTGAACACCTTGGGGTCAATAAACTTATCGGGAAATGTCTGTGTCAACGTCGGGATGCTCAAACCTTTTGTATCAGGCCTGAAATAGAAGACATAATACTGTAAGAAGTATTCTTTTCAAAGAACAGGAA